AGCTGGGAAAGAGGATTTGGGGGAAGATCGTGGAGTTGGGCGCAGACAAACGACTTGTGTATTCTCAGCAGCTGTGTGCTGGGCAGGAAAGTAGGAGGACAGGGAAACAATATATCTCACTCGTGGATTCATTTCCATGGCAGCTGACGGTTAAGAGGAGGGATTTTGAAAAGAGAAGGACCTTGATTCCAATAGCAGCTTTGCTACTTACTAGATGTGATGGGGGGTAAGTTATTGCACTTCTACAAGCTACCATTTCCCCATCTATAAGAAGGAAATCCAAATAGCACCTACGTGAGAGAGTTTCTGTGAGAACTAAAGGTGCGGATAAGAGCTTAGGAAATTGCTGGGTACCTCTTTGACCTCAAAGGAAGGTTAGATAGTATTATTTGAAGCATAATAACATATGAGATGAATAGAACTAGATCTTAGGAGTCTATGAGAGTGAGGGAAAGGGGTTAAAGCCAATCTGAGGGTTTTAATTCTCATTAGCAAAACTGGGACATGAAGCTTCACGTTGGTGGGTAGCATCTTTCTAAGATCAGGTACTAGAAAAGGAAAGATATTCTAGAAAGAGGGAGGAGTCCACCTGCACCATCTGCACCATCAGTCCCTTCCTGCTGGTGAAGATGGCCGTTTGCACCTGTGAGGGAGAGAGAGAGGGAGGGAGGGAGGCACCCAGGAAGTGCTGGGAAGGGAAGGGGTCACAATGGAGGTGGGACTGAAACCAGTGGAGGTGGGGAAAGGATTGGCAGGGATGCAGGTCAAGCTGGAAGTTCTCCTTTCGGAACAACAGACATCTCCTGGAAAATGTCAGGTGCTCATCTCGGGGACAGCTCTGCCGGGAAGAAGGGCGCCTGCCCACACGTCCTACGGGCAGACGTGGGGAGCAGGGGGTCTTCCGTCATTGTTCGAGCTGAGCTGAGCGGCCAGCTGGGGCTCTTGGGCGTTGTGCTAGCCTGGATTTCACACTGTTTGCACAATTACAGAACAACAGACAACAGAAGAGGTGCCAATTCTCTCTTCAAAGGCACATGAACACCCCTCGCTCCCGAGGCTGGTTGCAGCATGCAGACACCGCTGATTCCCGCATCCTTCCCCCTTTGGTACCTCATTCAGGGCCCAGAGCCCTCCCAAGGGGCATCTCCACACCCCGCTCTTTTGGATGGAGAAAGAGCTCCTTGCTGATGAGCATCTAGGACCCAGGCTCACACTGTGGTGGCAGCAGAGGCTTTTGCTGCCCTTTTTGCCCTCCTGGCTGCTGGGGAGGGAAGCCAGCTGCATCCCGAAAACAGTTCCACTCAGCAAACAATGCAGCGCCCCGAAGAGTCATAATGAGGTCTGGTTCAAGTGCTGGCACGCACACAAAATATTAATTAAAATAACGTGCATGATAAATAATATTGGAATCCAAAGCATAGGACTCCTGGAAAGTCACAGTTGGCAATGACTTGAGCGCCTGCTAACACATACTCAGAATTCCAGGGTTGCTTCCATGACAAAATCAGTCTTGGGGAGGTGACCTTGAGAGGTCGCCTTGTGTGGCATCCTCCTGTTCATAAACTGAACAATGTCTAAGCAACCCTGGAAGAAGAGTATCCATCCTGATTTTCAGGTGCTAAGGAAAGAAATTCCTCGAGAACTCAATAATTTAATTTCATAATAAATACTGGAGTACCAGCTAGGCTGAGGCTCTCTCTGCTTAGCACTGGCGATAAGGGGATGAGGGATGGGAGGGATCCGTGGTTCTGGTTTTCAAGAAGTAACTGGTTATTGGCAGATAGAAAGTCCTTCTATATGCCTCACCTAAATCTTTCATGCTGCTGTTAAAAACCCATTGCCACCTGTTTAATCCTTGACTGAGGACCCCACAGGATTCCAGTTCAAACGTTTCTAGAGCCTTTCTTAGCTACCAGGGACTTGGGGAGAGGGGTGACAACAGGTAAGTGTCCCTGGTACTTCTGCACTACTGAGGTTTCCCACCAGCTCCAACAAGTAAAGCAAATTGTGCACCATCTAATTTATCTAGACCCTTAAAAATGATTACCAAATGTATGGCCCCGGTTAGTACAGAAACCTAACTGGGAGAGGAAAAGACCCCATTATCTTAATTCCAAAAGCATTTTCTATTTGTGGCTCAGGCAACATTTCAGCATCTCATTAAACGTGTTTAATTTCATTCCCTCAACAGTGACCCACATACCACACCAGTGACCACAACTTCGGTGCCCCGGCCCCTAAATTCTATTAGTGTTCAGAAAGCCTCCTGCTTGCAACATAATGTTCAATCAGTGCAGAGAAATTAATTAAATTAAAATTATTTTTATTGTGATTTAATTAGCTCGATTTAATTACTTTGTTCACTGACTGAGCATTCTGTTGTTACAGGCAGATCCTCGCTTTCATTCGTGGCATGAATGTTCCCACAGAATTACACATTTTCTCTGTTCAGCCATTGGAGCAGGCCGGGGGAGTCTGCCAGAAACCCACGATTTATCACAATCAACATCATCACAAATTATAGGAAGCATCCAGCAATATAACTTCTAAATAAGAGTCTGAAAGCAGGTCACAGTGCCAGCCTCGGCTGTTAATCCATCATATTTCATAGTCGACCCGACAGCTTGTCCAATTAGCCACGCCTGCTGCCTCTCTGGGCGCCCGAGTGAGGGGTCCAGCTCCTGCACAGGCTGGCACCCCTAAAAAGGCCTGGCCGGCCCTCCTTGGCCTCCCCAGGCCCCAACTCCACGCTCACTGTGGCTGTTCAGGCTGCCCTTCCTGCTTCTTCTCCCTCTGAGCCTGAGCTTCACCGTCTGAAATTCAGTATTTCCTCTGATTGCAAAAGTAGGCAACAAACCACAGTGCCTAGCGATCCCTGGGACTGAGTCACCAGAGCGCACCAGACACTTCCATGATTACATTACAGCTACTGTCGGTATCTTGGAACCCCTTCCTTTCCTCACCACTTCAAAACAGCAGTGGGTGTTCGACCCCCCAGTAGATCACACGTGAACTCAACCTTTCTCCCCCGCAGGCCAGTCCGCAATGCCGTGTGTGATTCAAGCTGAACCACAGTGGCCGTCACAGTGGCGTTTTACAGACATGAGATCAGCCCTAGCTTGGCTATATTTGAGGTGCGTCGTCTTGATCACTGCGCTCAAAGCTGTGCAGCGTTGTTTTCTTATGTTCTAACAACAGTGTGTCAATACATTTGGCTTGCTGCACCGTCTTACGTGTTTTATTTTATGATCTGAATCCATTCTCCTGAGAAGGGATTCTATACGCTTTGCTAGACTGCTCTAACAACAGAGGCCTCAGCTTTTTTTTTTTTTTTTTTTTTTTTCGGTTTCTGTGTTAGTTTCCTGTGGCTACTGTAACAAATTACAACTTTGGTGGCTGCAAACAACAGAAATTTATTGTCCTATAGTTCTGGAGACTAGAAGTTCAACCTCAGTCTCACCGGGCAGAAATCAAGTGTCCTGGGGCCATGCCCGCTCCAGAGGCTCCAGTGGAGAATCCTTGCCTTGCCTCTTCCAGCTTCTAGGGGCCACTAGCATTCTTTTGCTTGTGGCTGCATCACTGCAATCTTTGCCTCCATATTCACGTCGCTTTCTCCTCTTCTGTGTGTGCGATCTCCCTCTGCCTCTCTCTTATAAGTACAGTTTTGATGGCCTTGAGGGCCCAACTGGATAATCCTGGAAACTCTCCCCATCTCAAGTTCTTTAACTGAGTCACATCTTCAAAGGCTCTTTTTCCAAATAAGGTAACATTTACAGGTTCCAGGGGTTAGGTCCTGATATTTTGGGGGCCACAATTCAGTCTGCTATCGTCCCTACGCTTAATTCTTTATTGACCATACAATTCTGTCCTTGAGGAAGGGACATAAAATGATTTCAAAAATGTGACAAAATTGGTAGCAAGTTAAAATAGATGTCCATGCAAAGCCCACTGCAATAATTAGATAAGAGTTCATGTGATGGTTAAAGAGACAGCAAGACTTTTTAAAAAAATTAAGTGTTTACCATGGCCCAGGGGAAGAAACAGGCCTGTTTCCTCACCTCCAGATGAAGAAAGTACAAGCTTTGCAAGCCTTGCTACTAGAACGTGTGTGGTTCGTGGGCCCTGAGATCTCACGGGGCCCAGGTTGGCAGTTCTGCTTTTCCCTCCTCCACCTTGTCCTGCCCAGAGGGGGCTGTATTTGTGTGCTCTGCAAAGTGCTGAATGAGGAACTTATGCCACTGACCAGAAGTGAAAAAGGGCAGGGACTGTGTGTTTTTCAATTAAATAGAACAAGAGGAAGGAAGTGTTAACTTTGACTTGAGCTGTTCAGGCTGCCGATGAGAACAAAATCCCTGCAGTCAGGTGCGCCAGCCCAGAGTTTATCCAAAAGGAGTTCTAGAGCCGCCTCTTCTGAACATCATGAAAATGGTGCCTGGCAGATCCAGCAGCAGCCTGATCCCCTTCTCTGTCTCCCTGCCCCAGTTATGCCTCTTTAACTCATGTGATTTCATTCACAAAACCTGACCTCTCCAAGTGCCGGTTTCTTCAACCGGGCCTGATGTCCTACGTGGGCTCCTTAAAGGCAGGACTCACTCTTCATTCCCTGTGTGAAGCTTTGAGCACATGGCCTGGCACACAGAGGACCCTCAATCAATATCCACTTATCTGGGGCTTCCCTGGTGGCGCAGTGGTTGAGAATCTGCCTGCCAATGCAGGGGACATGGGTTCAAGCCCTGGTCTGGGAAGGTCCCACATGCCGCGGAGCAACTAGGCCTGTGAGCCACACTACTGAGCCTGTGCATCTGGAGCTTGTGCTCCGCAACAAGAGAGGCCCGTGCACGGCGATGAAGAGTGGCCCCCGCTCGCCGCAACTAGAGAAAGCCCTCGCACAGAAATGAAGACCCAACACAGCCAAAAATAAATAAATAAAATTTTTTAAAAAATGATTTACATTTAAAATATATATATATCCACTTATCTGAACCGGATGTCTGTCTTACCTGACTCACAGTCTCAAAGTCATGCCAGGCGTGCTGCCTCTGAGGATAATTCCAAAACTGCACAGACAGACGGCATCAGTATTGCTGCAGATGTCGTTGTTCTTGCACTGACTCACTTTGCAAGGTCCCTTCCAGCCACATGACACTTTCATCCCTCTTAAATTTAGCCTCACAGAATGAGCATCTGTCCTGGAAATGAGTAGAAAGAGGTCTCTGTTACACCCGTGCTCTTCAATTCAGAGGGCATGCGCTGTCAGTGGGAGACTGTGCACAGACCCTGGTGCCCATAGGCGGGCTGGAGAGACCTTTGAATTATCTAGTTCAACACCCTCCCTTTACAGTTAAGAAAGCTGACAGCTGTCCAATGTCACATGGCTGGTTGGCAGCAAAGAACCCAGGGAGCTAGGACCCACTGCTACTGTCTTCTGGCCTGGTGTTTTCTCCACGCTATTACACTCCTTCTTTGACCCAAGGTCTTAGCTTGGCCTGGTAGAACTGGCCCAGCACACTACCTCACAGCTAAGTGCTCCAAACTATCAAAGGGTTGAGTATGTTACCGATTCCTCTCACACAGCCTGGGTTGTAAGAACCCATAAATAAAAACCATTGCAAAGTACTCAGAAAGTGTAGAATGTTTTGGTAGGACTCGATTTTGTAGTATAACATTTTGATTCCCTCTTCTTGTCTTCTCTGTGTTTTTGTTTTTCTTTAGTTATTTTCTTGGTGGTTACCTGGGGGGTTACAATTAACATCTTAAATTTATAATAACCTGGTTCGAATAATACCAACTTATTTTCCATAGTATCAAACATCCCACACCTATACGTCTCCATCTCTCCCCCTTTATATTGTTATTGTCACAGATTATATCTTTGCACATTGTGTGCCCGTTAACATAGACTTACAATCATTGTTGTATGAATTTTCCTATTAAATCACATGGGAAGAAGAGAGAAGTTGCCAGTCATTACCAAAGCGCAGTATTCTGCACTTTTAAATCCAGAGCCCAGATTTCATATTTAACTATGTAGCTATCTTTACCAATGTTCCTTATTTTTTCTTATGGGTGAGATTTACAGTCTACTGGCCTTTCATCTGAGCCTAAAGGACTCCTTTTAACATTTATTTTACAGCAAGGCTGTTGCTAATGAACTCCCTTGCCTTTTGTTTATCTGGAAATGTCTTAATTTCTCCTTCAGTCTTGAAAGACAGTTTTGCCAGATATAGAATTCTTGACATTTTTTTTTCCTTCAGGCCTTTAAATATGTTATCCCATTGCCTTTGGCCTCTATGCTTTTCGAAGAGAAACCAGCTGTTAATCTTATTGAGGATCCCTTGAACATCGTGAGTTACTTCCCTCTTGCTGCTTTCAAAATCCTCTCTTTGTGAGTTTTGACAGTTTGACCATAATGTGTCTTGGTGTGAATCTCTTTGAGTTTATCCTGCATGGAGTTCATTGAGATTCTTGGACATGTATATTCATGTACTTCCAGATTTGGGAAGTTTCTGGCCATTACTTATTCAAAATTTTTTTCTTCCCCTTTCTCACTCTCTCCCCCTTCCTCTCTCTCCCCCACTTCTAGGACTCCTACGATGTGTACGTGAGTATGTTTGATGATATCCCTCACATCCCTCTTGCTCTTGTTCATTTTTCTTCACTCCTTTTTCTTTCTGTTCTTCAGACTGGATAATTCCAGTTGTCTTATCTTCGATTTATTGATCCTTTCTTTTGCCTGCTCAGATCTGACATTTAACCCCTCTAATAAGTTTTTCATTTTGGTTATTATACTTTTCACCTCTGGAATTTTTTGGTTCCTTTTTATAATTTCTATCTCTTTGCTGGTATTCTCATACCAACAATGTTCATGTATTGTTTTCTTGATTTCCTTTAGTTCTTTGCCCATGGTTTCTTTTAGCCCACTGAACATATTTAACACAGATTTAACATCTCCGTCTAATAATTCCAATGTCTGGAATTCCTCAGGACTGATTTCTGTCAAACTCTTTTTTCCTTGTGAATGGGTCATGTTTTCCTGTTTCCTTGTATATTTTGTATTTTTGTTATTATTGTTGAGAACTGGATATTCTGAGAAGTGTGTTAACTCAACTCTAGAGATCTAGTTCTCCCACACCTCAGGGATTGCTGAATCTTGCTTGTTGAACTTTTCCAAACTATTTTAGCAACAGGTGTGTTCCTTGCTTTGTGTGGTCCCTCATGTTTCTGTTATCTCTGCAGCCAGATTTCCTTAAATGTCTGCCTCCCAGAAGAGCTGCAGGGGAGAAAAAAAAAAATGGGTCCTGTCTCTTTAAATCCCCTCAAAAGCCGCTTCAACACATGGAAGGGCTGACAGTTCCTGCCAGCTCAGTCACTGTTTTGGTGGATGGGTAGATTCCTGGAGCTTTCTACTCTGCTTTCTCCCCATGAAGTCACCCAGTAGTGACTGACTGATTCTTATTTAGAAAAAAGAGAAAATAATTATTAATTTAAAATTCAAAGTACACGTTTTTTCCAAACATGAAAAAACATTTCATAAATGTGGGTCCTAAGTTTCTCATGGTCTCTCAGAAGAGATTAAACAACCCAGTGATTTTTATCTGCCATCTTTAAGTCACATACATTCTAAAACTCACTTTAGGAGGCAGGCACGTACAAAACACGCTGGAAACATGATCTGAAAAAAAACTTAGACCTAGAAGAGTCTAGCAGGAGGGTCAGAATTGAGAGACCAAAGTGATGTTGCTAAATGAGGTACATCTTCCAGAGCATGAAGAAAGCTTGTTCTCAGGATCAAGGAAAGTTTAATCAAGAGAAACATTGACTCTGAGCCCAAAAAAGTCCCTGACCTCCCTGTACTTACTGTATGCACTCTTAGCTCTTGGTCACCTGGTGTCTTGTGGCATCCCCATCTTGTGGTCCTATTTAGTCACTTAACTTGCATACCATTTAACTTCCACTGGGATAGGTGTCCTTTACTTCAGCATAATTAGATCTCTTTTGAGAACAAGAATAATTTCTTAAACATTATGATTAAGCTGAAGAAGGAGAAGAAGGAGAGGGGTATAATAAAGGGTGTATTCCTTTCCTCGGGCTGCTATAACAAATTACCACAAACTTGGTGGCTCAAAACAAAAACATTTGTTCTCTCACAGTTCTGGAGACCAGAAGTCCAAAGTCAAGGTGTCATTAGAACGGTGCTCCCTCCAAATACTCCAAATCCCTCCTTACCCTTTCTAGCTTCTGGCGGCTCCAGGCCCTTAATCTGTGGGGTCTGTACTAATGCTGGGCAATTAGTGTCAGAACTGAACTGAATTGTTGAACACCCAGTTTTGGTGTTTAGAATTAGAGAATTTGTTGGTGTCAGAGAAAATACCCCACTAGGGTTAGGATTTGGATATATATTTTAGGGGTGCATAGTTCAACTCACTACAAAGAGGAAGGGAAAGAAGAAGCAGGATCCTTGTTTTCTCACAAAATCTAAGAGTACTGAGCACATATTAATTAAATCTATGAATGTGTTATTTATGGAATCAACCTAAGAAGGCAAAGTACAGAGGTTAATGGATCTTCCTGCTAGGGATCTCTTTTGCCTTTAGTAAAACATGAGGTCTTTGTACAAACTTTATAAAAAAGATGGCAAGATTTTTTTCAGGACTTGCACCACCTGCTCACCAATCCTGAGTTTACACTGCAGGAAATATGAATCACAGGAAATATGAGGATAGGCAGGAAATATGAATTACATTTAATGAGAGTGAAATCTGTGAGCTGATCACTGGAATTGTCACTGCCCCTAGAGCTAAGGAAGCATGCAAAGATCTGAGGCCCAGATTAAGGCCCCTTTGGACTCCCTTCCTGGATTGTCCCCTGCAGTTTCTCACCATGAAAAAATAACTGATTAAATTCACGCCAAGGTCAGGTAGCCAACAAAAGGCATATCATTATTCTCAATCTTATGATTTTTACTTTCTTTCGTGTCATTTCTCTCCCTTTTCTAACATGACATTTTCTCTCTTTCTTTCCTTTTAAAAAAAAATAATAATAACAAACATTTGCTTTCACAGACATGCAATTTCTCTTGCATCAATGCCACAAGGTAGGTGTCATTACTGCTCTTTTATAAAGAATGAAATGAGGCCCCAAAGAGGTAACGTGAGGTTACACAGACATTCAGTTGTGGAGCCGGCAATCAGCACTAAATCCCACTGTTTTTCCTCAGCTCTATCATGTCTTCCTTTCTGCTATTTCCTTTTCTATTTCTATTTCCTTTTCCTCCTTTTTCCTTATTCCAAAGGCACTCACAGACCTAGGACATGCACCCACCCATTATTTTAAGAGCGATTGTTCTCAGCACTCTCAGTACCAAAACTACCCAGGGAGATTTTATGAAAGCTGATGACTGACCCCATCCCAGGCCAATCAAATCATAACTTCTGGAGGTGTGGCCTGGACACCAGCATTTTGTCAAAGCCCTCCCCACCCCTGCCAGGTGATCTTAAAGTGCAGGGTTGAGAATAACATCTCAATGTATCAAGAGACAGACAAGATCTCTTCTTAACCCTAGAAAAGAAAATATTCACTCTTACAAGCATAATCCAATCTTTGGAGCGTATCTCTGCAAACCTGGTTGACGAAAACCAAGAACAAACTGACCAATGAGACTTGCAGATGGCAATTTGAGCCGACATGCTTAATGTCCCCTCCCTTCCTAAATCCCACTAAAAGATCACAGAATTATGCTAAGCAGGGAGAAAAGTGTAAGACATTAATGTAAAATAAAGAAGAATGGGGCTTCCCTGGTGGGGCAGTGGTTAGGACTCCGCCTGCCAGTGCAGGGGACACGGGTTTGAGCCCTGGTCCGGGAAGATCCCACATGCCGCGGAGCAACTAAGTCCGTGCGCCACAACTACTGAGCCTGCGTGCCACAACTACTGAAGCCCACGCACCTAGAGCCCATGCTCCGCAACAAGAGAAGCCACTGCAATGAGAAGCCCGGGCACTGCAACGAAGAGCAGCCCCCGCTTGCTGCAACTAGAGAAAACTCATGCACAGAAACGAAGATCCAACGCAGCCAAAAATAAATAAATAAAATTAATTAATTAACTTTAAAAAAAGAAGAAGAAGAATGGTATCAAGGGGCTAGAAACTTTGAAGAAGTTGGCATGATTTGGTGCAGGTGAAAATGTCGCAC